TTTACATTAAATACATAGAATACGATTGCATGCTAGCTGGTCACACCGTTTTATACCCTGCTACATGTAATTCTATATGTGCAACTGTCCTGGATGTGGTCGACGTAGATAACACCCCAACCCCAAGAGGAATTGTGAACAATCCGAACCTGAGCTACCTAGCCTTTGAGAGACGACGTATCGATCTCTTGTTGCTCCATGGTCTCAACTTTCTGTGAACTCACTGCCTTGGCAACCACCACTCCACCAATCAGCAGCTCTAGGCGTACGACATTAATGTCAGAACCTCCACCAATCAGAAACGTCAGCTTAGCTCATTGGATTAGAAATGGTGGTGAAGTTGCGGTGCCTTGAGGAACATCACCTTGAGCATTTGGTGGATGAGAGGGACTGGGTCTGTTTTCAAATGTTCCTATGAACCAGTTTCCTTTGAGGTTTGATGTTTTCCAACCTCGAGCTAGCGTGTTATCTCCGTAGGTTGGCTGATTGTTAAATGTTGTTCCCGTCAGAGTCCATCCGTCCAGTCGTCCGGATTCAAAGTCAAACAAAACGCATTCTATGATGAAAGTCATGGAATAATGAAAATTCTTAAACAGAATATAATGACTTCACAATACAAGACTTTACGTTTGTGCCCCACCAGCTTTTACTATAAAGAGCAGTTTCACATTGGCCATTTCTGCAACGATTTTTGATCTCAGAGAATAATGTTTTAATTTAAAAATTCTAATTCTTATCCTTGAATTATATTTTTTTGTTTTTGCCTATTTCGCAATGGCGATAGTTCTGCGACGATTTTTGTCGTTATTTTGATCTTAGTGAATAAGGTTAAATTATCATTCTTTTCATAAGCGAAATAATGACGTGGCAATGTTAGATGAATTGACTTGCAAAGATTTACCTAATAAACTGAGATGACCTAGCCAAAATTCTCCTTATGACAATGTTTCTTTGCTAGTGTAAACAAAGAACAAGCTTTCCTTGACAAGTTTTGGTTGTTCCTTGATGTCAGCGGAGAACAACAAACAAAATGGCGTACTTATTGTGAAGGGATCTTGTTGATCTTGTTGTTGAAGTAGCTTGTTGTCTTTTCCTTGACAAGGAAAAATTGTCCATTTTACCCCATTTACATGAGCAATGTTTCTTTTTCTAGATAAACTTGTCAAGGAAAAATTGCTTGTGTAAACGCCGTATAAAATATTTTTGAAAATTGCGTCAAAAATCGCCAATGTGAACCGGTCTTAAATAACGTATTTTCTTACTTTTATGCTCACAATTACGTCCATAGGAATTATCGAGTGTACAAGTGCAGGTGTAGTTAGTCCCTCCATCTTTCACGGTACATTGTCCGCCATTTTGACAAGGGTTTGCTGAACACGCAGTCTGAAACGTAGAAAAAAGAATGAGGTTTCAAAAAACTTGCATTTTCTTGCAGACTTCTGACTGAGCATAATCCAATTTCCTAATTATTACATTTTATGCTCAGTTTTAGCCTGAGTTCATCCAGCGTTTACCCCTAACCTTTTTCCTGGAAACAGTGCACGATATCGTGTTCTCTGTGTACCTGGACTTGAGTACACACTGATTGTTCCATTCTTACATGTATTTTGATTGGCTATAAACATCGTCGCAGTGCCTTTTCAGCTGTCAATCTTGTCATTCGTTGCACGTGTTTTTCACCTCACTTGACCTTTTTGTTCTTTATATTTTTGTTTTCTTGTCATTCGAAAATAATTTGGTTTATGCTCTAGACAAGTCATTATTTAAAAGTACAATGACCGATATCACATTGAAATAAGCACATTGAACCAACACAGGATGCACTTGTTAAATCTCCGCCCCAACTAGCTAATTAAACTAACTATTGTTTGCGGATGACGCAAGTGGAGTAGGCTCTCTTTTAGTGGAATAACGAAATGGTGGAACACTCTTACAGAAATTGGTCCCGACTTTGGGTACTTCCCAAATGCAAAGATCCGTGTTGGTTTTTTGTAAAGCCTGAGTGTGAAGAGTCTGCTAAAGAATTGTTTCAATCGACGGCTAGGAATTCCATGATGACTATGTTAACAGCAAAGTGAATGAGTGGGTCAGTGAAATAACAGAACTAGACGAAATCGCTACAATAGAGCCCCAAGCTTGTTATTCGGGTTACATTTTTGGTCTGAAGCACAAATGGACATACTTTCTAAGAACAATTCCTGACACGCAAGACCTCAGTGGAACCCATGGAAAGAGCTATAAGCCAAATTCTTATACCAACTTTAACTGGGCACAAATGCAGTCAATGTGTCTAGTGGAGATATCTTCACCGTCGACCACTCAATGATATGTAAAAAGGGTGGTTTTATTGTACAGCGCCACAACGAGCTCCGTTACCTAGAAGCTGATCTTTTAAGCATGGTGTGTAACGATGTCGAAATTGAGCCTCAATTGCAAGAARTGACAGGAGAACAATTAAGTTGTGGATCCAACATGGCTAAGGAAGCTCGACTTTATATACACGCATGTGGTTTTTGGGGAAAACAACAATCTGCTTTCTTCGACATTCGTGTCTGCCATGCCAATGCTGATTCATACAAACAGATGGAACCGAAAAATCTACCGTTTACATGAGAATGAAAAGAAACGATGCTACTCTAGACGTGTACTGGATACTGAACAAGGTACTTTCACATCTCTTGTGTTCACCTCTACTGGTGGGATGGGACCTGAATGTCTAAGATACCACAGTCGTCTTGCAGAACTTATTGCCAACAAGAAAGGAGAGAATAGCGCTCCGCACAGATGACGTCACACATTTTGCACCCCGTCGAGAACTCAGACAAACTTTACAATGCTGCATACTAATCCTTGGTAAATTCGCCATCTTTAGTCATCGATAATGGGTAGTTAAACGCAACGAATTTCTATTCTGACTTAAGATTATAACGTGTAGGGCTCTTAACTTTGATAAACTTGTAAAGAATTCCAAATTCGAGTGAATAAAACGATGTTTCACGGCCCCTTATCTCACCCTAATCTCGAATTATTTAGGGCTCCGAATCTTAAATATTAAAATCTAAGATTGAAGCTATATCGTCAGAAAAATAGCATTTTAAAGACTTTTTGAGCAATAGGCATCACATTTAGGAATCTAAATCAAACAAAGTCAAGAAATAGAGTATTCAAAGAAGCGGAAAATTATATTCTATAAAGTAAATGTGCAGACTCGTAACATGGTATATGGGCTCAGGGCTCAGTGCTCAAATGACCGGGCTCAATTCCGAAATCTTGGTTGGGCTCTGGACTCAAAGTGTTAGGCTCACGGCTCAAAAGAAAAAAATCGGGATACTATAACAATAATGCATTTAATTTGAGTTAAAATCAATTTTAATTGTTCTGTAAAAGAAGCATCTAAGAAGCACTGATTTTAACTACATCGTTTCCGAAGTAGTTCCGAATACCGATGAGGTTCGTGCACATGTTTCGTGCAGTCAGGTAATTCGATCTCATCTTTAGATGGCGTGGTCGTTCTGGAATATCTGGAAAATAAGTCTTTCTTTTCGTCTAAATTTTCCGGCGTTGGCTTCAAACGAAGTAAAATTATGCCTCAGTTCCATTGCATGGCAACTTGATGTCCTTGCAGCTATCTTTCCATAGCTTCTTTAGGGACTGTGCAGTAATTACCAGGAGAGTGGGCGT